AAATCTCGACAAGTTTCTCTTTGGTTGGATATCTTGACCAATACCGAAGTTCTTTGGTCTAGATTCAACCAATGGGTTCTTGGAGGTGGCAGATTTTGGAGCTTTAGAAGCTAATGGAGCTGGAGCAACTTTCTTTGCAGGCTGTGTCATTGAGTAAAGTTAGTTAAAAGTGTTCTCAATATTAAATGTCAACGAACGATCCTTTTATCACCTTTTACTCTACAGTATCTAAAGATACTCAGCCTGTGCAACAAGAAGTGTATGCACATTCTTTGGTCAAATGTATTAAAGTACTGGGTACTTGTATACGAAGTAACCATACTTTCAATTTCGAAGTCCTTTTACTCGAAAAAACTAGTGAAAAAAGACTTCAACGCATAATTGAAAAAGAACGAATAACATCACTCCTTGTGCACAACCTTCATATTTTATATAATCTTTAGAGAGGTAGATGCGGAGGTGTTCCAACGTCTTTCAAATAATAGGACATACCATTTTATGTTTTATTGTATTAGTAGTAGTGAAGAAGAAAAATATATAGTAGATAAAATTTTGAAAAATTTTTTTCTAGCCCATAATGATTCCTAATACTGAAATTTATTAAGCCATACTCATAAATACTCGCAATATCAATATGTCCATGAATTATGTGATTATGATGAACTAGGTATTCTATGATGTAAGTGTAGTAATATAACTGTCTTCAAGTCATATGGTCCTTTTTCATATTTTCGTTATTTCTCTTGCTATTATTTTTTTTGCAATTGTTGATTTCAGTTCAAAATGTATTAGATATTTTATGCATATATACAAGAGTGGCCATTGGGCCTTTAAAAGCTATTTATAACTGAAAACAAGTTCATCTTCTATGTAGTCAAGCTTGGTGATCTGGAAATTACCAGTCAAAACTTGGCCAACTCTAAATTCACCAGTATTGAACTTTTCTATAACATCCTCTGTGCTTTCCAAAGTCGCCTTTAGGTTATTAAAACCTAGTACGTGAACGCTGATATTTCCAAATTTAGGATTACTTTTAAGCAAAAGCTTGAAAGTGACTGGCTTGGATATTTCTCCTTCGTTGAGTAATTTAAGATACTCCTTGAAGAAAACACCTTCCCAGAATTTGTTGGAGAAGCTCTGCATTTTCTTATTGATAAGTTCACAAGTCTGTAAATGATTGCCCATATAGTACAACTGAGTGTCTTGAATATTAGATGTAGGAATATTAGCCCTCGATAATAAGAATTCCTCAAATTTCCAGTGGTTTATCATGTCGACGAATCGTCTCAAAGGTGATGTGACAGTAGCATATCCTTGAAGACCTAAAGATTCATGTGGTTTCTTTTCAACCAGGAACTTCGCCGATGTTAAAACTGACAAGACTTTTGACACATCTTCGATGCTCAAATCTTCGTTAGTCAAATACTTTCTTTTTGATATTTCCTGTAGCTTCTTCAAAATTGAGTCTTCCAATTTCATTTGTTGGCTCCTATGGATTATAGGAATGTTATTTTTGGTTGCAAATATCGATGCAGCATAATTTGCACTAATCATAAAATGTGATACCAACAACTGAGATTTAGACAGAACACCTTGATCAGCCCCATTTGATATCGAGACAAGTGCCTGTTTATTTGTATTGGAAGGATCCTGCACTTTTAGTTTATACCCATTCTCGGATACTTCGAATCTTTGGTCACATTTCCCTGTCGTGTAGTCTACTGTGACAGATGATCTAGGTATACTCATTTCAAGGCCATTCCCAACCATGATTCTTATGTCTTTGAGAATTGTAGAAATATTATACAACTTGAATAAATTTGACGAATGAACATCCGTGATAGACCCCTTCTTAAAGGATTCAAACCCTTTTTCATTATTAAGAATTTCATTCACCTTACTGTAAGTAAAGTTGTTAGGAAAATTATGAGCCATACACAATTTAATATCGACCGAAGATTCAATATCCTTCAAAATGCTATTAGAAAACTCGATATCGGGTTTGAAGAATTCATCATTATTCTTTTGCTTTATATAGCTGTCAACTGATGACTTGTCCAATGTATATTGTATAACAAAGGTTCTTGTTCTAGAAGTTTTACCTAATCCAGCAATTTTAGAAATGATATTCGGAAGCATCATAGATGGACCTTCCGGTAAATATGTTGTAGATCCCTTATTGAAGGCGATATTACTTATTGTGGAAAATGGCTTTAAATACGAAGTAGGATTAGCCACATGAACTGATATAATATACTTCTCTCCATCTTTGCTAGTGTTAATAGAAATACCATCATCAATTTCGTGAGCAGTTTCTGAATCAATACAATAAATTGGGGTATTTCCAAAATCTTCCCTTATTTCGGTTAATGGGTCTGAAGTATAAAAATCATCCGTTAATTCTATGTCATCATCCTTAGGAGAAAATGCAACATCAAATCCTTCTAAAGATGAAACCGAATTGGAATTTGTGTGTTTAATAGAATTACCTTCTTCAACTAATTCCCTGAGGCGGTGTTCCTTGCTGGAGAACGACTCATCTAAGTACTGATAATAATCGGTAGAAAGATCGGACATCAACAGCACATTATTATTTGGTAACTGTAGCGCATAAGACCAATTAGCTGGGTTTTCCCATCCGCAAGACGATGGTTTTAAAGGGTCTTCAAGCATCTGTAATAATTCAAATCCTCGAGCTCTTGAATAATCATAGGTCAGAGAAGTATATCTTTCAGGATATAAATTCTCTTCCTTCAAAGATTTATCGACTAGCCTAATCACAGAAACAAGTGCCGTTTCAGCTGCTGGATCATTTGTGAAATTTCCTGCTGTATAATCTTTAAAAAGCTGAACAATTTCTTTATAGTATTCAGGCACATCAACTTTTTCTTTCTTCAATTTTTTAATCAAGTAATCAGCAAACTTAACATCCCCATTTTTGAATTTCAAAAACGAAATAGTCTTCTCAAGAAGGTCAACATTTCGCAAAGGCAAAATATTCACACTTAGTGGTGGATTCGTCGAATTTTGTTGATTTATATTCCACAATCTTCCTTGAGTCCTTAGTGCTAAGATTAATGACATAAAAGTGGATACAGGGTATGCTTCATTGGCAAATTGCATCCATGACACGTCTTTCGGAACTATTTTGCCTAAATTTGAATATTTGGCTTCATTATCAAAATCTGAAAAAGAATCACTCAACTTTTTTCTTAGTGTTTTAAATAAATCTGCTTCGCCTTGTGCATCGCTTCCCTCTCTAACTAATTTTGGAACCATGTTCAAGCTAAACAGCTCTATGTAGTGTAATAACAAAAAGATTGAGATGGTTCTGGGAGAGTCGAGGCAATCACCATCTTCATCGTATTGTAAAACTCTATGCAAAATCTCTAACTTCTGAGATATTTCTGGTATCTTCTCGAATGTCTTGATAGATATTTGCGTTAAAGCTTTTGAATAAATTTCACGAGCCCTTATTGGGATATGAAACGTATTGACATCTGAATTAGTTAATAATTGTGAAGATGCTTGAGCAACGATAAAATCCCCACCAATCTCTGATGAATCAACATGGCCCCTATTTTCATCATTCTCTGATATTTTTTGAGCCTTTGATGATACTTTACGAATTTCCTTTGGCTTAGATTGTTCTGATTTGGAAAAGGTTGCGTCAGTAACCCCAATAGGTGCCATGTCCAAGTATTTTGTCTCAAGTTGTACCAAATCTTTGATAATCCCAAGTAAGTGGCGTGGAACTGCTCCTGGAAACCTCAACTTTATCAACTGTTTAGGGCCATATACTATTTCACCCTCTCTATTAATAAATGTATATGAATTTGAATCAAGATCGGTAGGGCAAGATACAATAATGTACAAACTAACGCTATCATTGTTTAGAGCGACTAAATCACCAGCGCTAATTGCATTTGCTGCACTTTCAGGCGATATTGTAGCATTTTTCAAATGCTTTTCAAGTTCGGCTTGTATTAACAACTCCTTCTTAGAATCTTTCGATTTCGTCTTCGTTTTGACTAAGCTCATAGGTATACTTTTAGCTAACTTCTTATAGTCACTCAACCAGGAGTTTGATGCTTCTCTGAACCTCTTGCTCATTCTTATCTCTGCGTCCTTGGAAATCTTATTGAAAAGCGTTGTGTTATCCAATGCCAAGTTTAATGATGAGTTCGCCGGGTCAAAATACGATGCTTTTTTATTCTGAAGGATCGACCTTGTTGCATCTGTTGCATCTGTTGCATCTATATTATTCTTCAGTGACTCTCTGCTTGAATTCAAGCGTATCTTGTTTAAATTATCATTCTTCTTGAATTCCTCTCGTATGCTCAAAATACTATGTCGAGCCTTTGATGGACCTTTGAGGGTAGCATAAAATCTTCTATCAAAAAGAGAGCGTTTTTTAAAACGCTGAAGTCTAATCATATCTATTCATAGGTCCAATTTAATAAACTAACTAGAGTCATAAATACTTGCAAAATTTATGAAAACTAGAGAGATGATAATGGCTCTTCAATTTTATCACGTGCAATATGATCTAAGCTATCAGGAAAGGAACACCATCGTGATAGTATTATGTGTGGGATCTTTGTCTAATATCATATAAGCCCTATCAGACAACGTATTGGATCAATACAAATGGAAATATTTGATTAATAAATGACTTAATTCAAAACTTTGGAAGATAATGACATTTAAAGAAATTTCGAACTGCCTAAAATCGAAGAATCATCGCTATCGTAATTATGAACCTATTATAGTATACCATTGTATATAAAATTCAGTCTGAATGGATCAATTATTGACTTATAGCCGTTTTGTAGATTATTCTTGCAACATGCTCCCGGTAAACCGGTGCCTGTTTTATTTTGTTCAAATGCCCTAACTTAATCACGGCAAATCTTTGTGAACGGATGCTGAACATAACCTTATTTACACAATTACTGTTCGTTAGGCATTATTGAATTAATATATATATATAACCTTACATAACCGATACAATCGAGGTTCCGTCTTGGAATCTGGTTCTAAAAACTCTATTCGCGTTCGTAAACATTCCTTCCTTCAAAGAAACAATAATAAATTGAGAACCCTTGAATCTAGTCTTAATTAAGTGACCGATATTTTGCGTGTGTGAAAGATCTAAAGCTGCATCAACTTCATCTAAAATGTACATCGGTGCCGGTTTGAATTGTAATAACGCCATGATCAACGATAACGCAATCAATGATCTTTGACCCCCAGACAATTCGACTAAACTTTCTTTCCACACAGGTCCCAATTTAACTTTAACACCTAGACCTTTAGTTACATCCTCGGCATCGACAGGCACCAACTTGGCAAAAGATCCTGGTAATAAATCTGCAAAAATATTCCCGAAATCAACAGAAACTTTTTGGTAAGTGGTGTTCAATGTATCCCTCTTATAACCATTCAACTTGTCGATAGTATTTTCAATCTTAGACTTATCCTTTTCAATGGTCCTTATCATTTGTTTCAAGGACGATTCTTTCTTTTCAACATTGTCTATCATATTCATAATATTTGTATTAACTTTACGCTTCATACCCTGGAATTTCTCTTTCAACACTTCTTCCTGTTCGTGACATTCATCTAAGTTGATATTAGGGTACTTCTGAATTATGCTGTCCAAAATATTTGAGTCCATGACCCAATCATGCTCTTGAACTAAATTGTCCAAATGGTTCTTTAACTTATTAGTAATAGATGACGATTTTTCAAGTTCATGGTTTAGCTTTTGGATAGATAACTTAGAATTATTCAACGACTCATTTTTCGACTGGAGTATTGATGTTAATTCATTCATTTCTTCATTAAGACCTAATAAGTTAGCTTTTTCCTCTTCTAATTCGATTTTCACATGTTCAAGATTCTCATTCTTTTCGGTGATATTTTCTTGAGTATTTTTCAATTCTTGATTGGATTCATGAATAATATTTTTGCTATATTCATATGATTCCTTTAAATTAGTCAACTCTCCTTGCTGCTGCTCGGATTCAATTTGCATTGATTGAAATTCGTCTGACTTTTCTCTGATTTCTTCTTCTTTATTGAGAACTTGATCTCTCAAGGCTGAGGTTTCTTTTTCTAGTTTTTTCAACTTGGAGCCTTTGTCACTACTAAATTCCTTCATGTCCTTTTCAATTGAAAATATTTCATTCGAATATGTCTTAGACTTCGCTTCTTCTTCCTTTATCTGTTCAGTCAAGGCTTTAATTTCTTGTTCATTTTTTTCATTCTCACGTAAAATTAATGAAGAAGGATTATTTTCAAACTTTCTCATCAACAATGTTAATTCATGCTTACTTAAATTAATCTCATTCTGTAATGAGTGAGTTTTATGAGACAATTTTTCGAAATCTTGTAAGTCTCTTTGGATGGTGAATAGTTCACTTTGGTATTTCTTAATTTGATTTTGTAATTTATTATATTTCTGCATGGCAATTAATATTGAAGAATTATTTTTTCTTGATCCACCTGATAAGTTACCCTCTGGATCATATATATCTCCCTCGAGTGTTATTGATCTTGCTCTAATTTGTGGGTCAAAAGTGACCATTTTTGCAGTTTGAGGGTCATTGCAAATAAATGTATTGCCAAATATATATTGCATAGCTTTCAATAGTTCGTTCTCAAAATCAACCAAATTTAAGGCAAGCTCAACCTTATTGGGGCATAGCGTCTTAGCTGCTTTTACCGCCCTATCATCAATAACTCTTGAAGAAATCTTATCCAAAGGAATTATTGTGACTCTTTTCTTAAGCTCTCCCTTTTCTAACAATTGAGATGCTGCATCAGAGGTATCAACAATTACGTTGTACAATCTACCACCAGCGCATACTTGCAAAGCCATTGCCTTATCAGCGTTTGATTCGTCTAACGTAAACAATTGAGCTGCAATTCCCCTTACAACATTGCTGTCAAAGTTTGGATTTGGCTTCGTATAATTGAATTCTACATTGCCCACTTCTCTTCTTAAGTAGTTAAGCTCATTGTTCAATTTGTTTACTTTGTCGCTAAGCACAGATTCTTGTTGTCTGAGCTCAGACACTCTCTTTGAATCGTATCCAAATTCAGCAAGCTTAGACTCTTTGTGGCTAATTTCTTGCTTGTAAGATTCAATATCTTTCAATACGGACTCATTGCTTTGTTTTGCAGAAGATAATTTAGATTTATCATTACTAATCTGTTTAGTAAGGTGGGTAATCTTTAGCTTCGATTGCTGAACAAAAACATTCGAGTCATTCAATTTCTCTTTAACCTCTTTAAGCTGTGCCAAATATCCCCCATCTGTGTTACCTTTAGACGAAACACCTGTAGAAAGTGTCGACAATAACTCTTCCTTTTTGTTAAATTCATTTTTCAACTCTGCCAACGCATCTTTGGCATTTTTATATTGTTTCTCGTGGTTACTGTAAATATCTGCATTATTTTCAAGAGCTTGTTGTAACTGGGAAATTTGCTGCTCTAGTTTAGTTAATTTTTTCGTCTCACTTTTTATGTTTTCAGCTATAATATCTCTCGAAGTGTTCAAACGAGTAATTTCATCGGAGTATTGATTTTCTAAAGTTTCTAGTTCTCTGATTTTACCATCTTTTTTCAATTCCAATTCTCTTTGTTTCTTTACTTGGTTTAAATCATCAGTTAAGTTCTTTATTTCAGTGTCTAATTTTTCAACGTCTCGATTTAGATTCTCCATAATTGTTTCTCGCTCGTTCAACATGGTCGAATGTTCGTCAAACTTCTTAGAATATAGCGCATAGTCATGAGCGGCAATAATTCTAGACATTTTCTCCAAATCAGTCTGGATCTGTTGAAATTCTAAAAATGTTCTCTTCTCATTTCTCAACTTCTCGAGCTTAGGTTCGATCTCTTCTTGTAAAAGACTTCGTATTTCAATCAACTTGGACTCCTTTTTAGCCATGGTCTTCTGTGCCTTATCTTTTCTTTCTTCAAAAGTTCTCGTGCCCGCTGCTTCTTCAATCAACGACAAGGTCTCAGTCGGCTTCATGTTCAAAACCTTCGTGATCTTACCTTGCATGATCAAGAAATTCGGATTGTTAATATTAAGCTGAACGGATTGAAATAAGTTCAACACAGTTTGCTGCTGTGCTTTGTGCCCGTTAACCAAGTACTTTGAACTTCCCCCAAGGATGATCTGTCTGGTGACACTAATTTTGGGACAATTCTCAAACCCAATGGGAGATTTCGAAACTTCACTATTATCAAATACAATCGTAACACTGGCTTTTGTTACACCTGCCTGTCCTCTTTTATATATCAAATCTTGCAAGTTAGACGCCCTAACAGTGGACATCGATGCTATTCCCAATACAAAACAGATGGCGTCTAAAATATTGGATTTTCCCGACCCATTCAACCCAGTAATTGCATTAAATTGAGGATCCCATCCTGAAATAACAGTACGAGTAGCATACGACTTGAATCCGTCGATAATCAACTCCTCTACCTTCATTTCCTAAAGAACATCTATTATCTGCTAACTAGTTTAGATCTGTCTAGTTATACGTATTTACGCGCTTTGTTTACTATTTTGTAGATTTCCTAAAATAGTAGTAAGTGTGATTTGTCCTTTAATTGTATTGATGACCCGCTTTGTTTGATTTTCTACAAATAAGAACGAATTATCATCTAAAAAACATCAAACGGGCCATTTAAGGTATCAATGTTTCAGTTGAGTGCTTTCTGGCAATATCTAAAATTTTCTTATTTTCAACCTTTTTCTTATTTCTGTATAGTTGCAAGATTTAAGCATTGAGAACAAATATATTTAAAATTATTAAAACTCAATTTATAATTCTCCAGACAAAGAATTAACTCATATAAACATAACCTAAATACAGATCATCAAATGATCATATATTGCACCATTTCTAGTATTGGCTAATTGTAACCACTCATCATCATATAGTGAGCACGATTAATGAACTAATTCTCACCTGAGATAATTTACCCTTACCATACTTGTTTTTGAGACAAGCCTCAGCTATAAATTGTTCACAGCATTACATAAAGTCCTACTACGTGTCATTCAACCCTCCCTATATGTCATTTTGACCTGGTTTTGGTCTAAATTTGCAACTTGATTGAATATTATATCACGTGATTTCCAAGATCGTGTTAAAAATTTGAATGTTTGTTGATAGTTTAGTATTAGGATACTGGACTACTTGTTTCTTTCAAATATCACGATATTTTGTTGGAAAGATATTTATTATACTTCGATTAAATATATCGTAACACTAGGAAAAGTGATATTTTGGAAGAATTATCTGGTGGTAGTTTAAAGGTGGAAAATTCCAAGCTAGAATATAATATTTATCTGATTTGAAAAGATGGCTCAATCTATACAGATGACACCATATGATTACCCGTAAGTAAAATTTATAGGATAGAGATTGTGATGTGTTTTTGAAAGCATCTGGATATTCCTATATTTATTGAGTGAAGTTACTAACTAAAAATAGACCTGAACGGCCCAAGAAGGAACCATGGAGGTTGAGCGAGCATAAATCTAAGTTTTATATTACTGGTATAATAATATTTATAATCACAGTTGTGAGAATGATGACTATGAGCATACCTTCATTGTATGCGCCGAACTTTTCATCATATCCGTCAGTTCAATACTTTGATTTGGCCAATTACGAAGGGAGCGACGACGGCTGGCAACGAGAAGAAAGAGTTTTATTTTGCGTGCCATTAAGAGATGCAGCAGCCCATTTGCCAATGTTTTTTGGACATATGAGAAACTTGACATATCCACATAATTTGATCGATTTGGCGTTTTTGGTGAGTGATTCGTCCGACGACACAATGGGAGCTTTGAATAAGCACTTGCTTGAAATTCAAAATGATCCTGATATGTCAATGAGATTTGGAGAAATTGAAATCTTCGAAAAAGATTTTGGCCAAGCCATTGGTCAAGGGTTTTCAGATAGACATGGTTTCGCAGCGCAGGGACCAAGACGTAAACTTATGGCTAGAGCTAGAAACTGGTTGTGGTCAGTCGCAATCAAGCCATATCATTCGTTTGTATACTGGAGAGATGCTGATGTTGAGACATCACCACCTACAATTTTGGAGGATCTTATGCATCATGGCAAGGACGTTATTGTGCCTAACGTTTGGAGACCGCTTCCAGATTGGTTAGGTAACCAACAACCATATGACTTAAATTCTTGGCAAGAATCTGATGGTGGTCTTCAGTTAGCTGATAGTTTGGATGAAGATGCATGCATTGTCGAAGGATATGTAGAATATCAGACCTGGAGACCTCACTTGGCTTACTTAAGAGACCCTTATGGTGACCAAGAAGTAGAAATGGAACTAGACGGTATTGGTGGTGTTTCAATCTTGTCTAAGGCTAAAGTGTTCCGTAGTGGATCACATTTTCCAGCGTTTTCATTCGAAAAGCACGCAGAAACAGAGGCATTTGGTAAATTATCAAAGAGAATGGGATATTCAGTTGTCGGGTTACCACACTATGTCATTTGGCACATTTACGAACCTTCTTCGGACGATTTGAAACATATGGAATTCATGGCTTTAGAAGAAGTTAGACAAAATGAAGAAGCAAAGATTAAGAAAGTGTACGACAAAGTTTGGGATAAAGCTTTTGAGGATGTTCAAGGCAGTTGGTCTAAGGAAAGGAACCTGTTCCTTAAGAATACTGATTTATCGCATATGAAGCCAATAAAAGTTGAATGGCCAGGGGTTGATGACTGGAAGATTGACAAGTCGAAAAATGATAAACAGTTAGCGGATTTCAATCCTTAAGCTAAGCAGATTTATTTTTTACGTTTATAGATTTTTTTTACATTCCATTTTGCATTAATTTAACAATTGTATATTAAAAATTCATTTACATGTAGATAAATCAAGTATGGATAAAACTATGTATGCTAATTCACCCCTTCATTCTTGTCAAAGTTATCTTTATACATGTAAAATTGTAAGAATATAAAACTGTCTTCAAAAATGGTACCAAGAGAGCCCAATAACCAACTTAAATTCAAAACAATATACTGTGAATCACTTCTGTAGAAGAGAATTTGACTAGCATACGTCAAGTTTCCAAGGGTAGAAAATAGGAAAAAAAGCAAACTCAAGCCCTCGACCGATTTTCTTTGATGATTTCTGATAATTTGGGGGATTCTTGCACCTAAATATAAAATGGCAGATAAATACCCAACTATCTGGGGACCCATTTCGATATTAGTATCGGGTTCCGTTGGGTCCTTAGAATCCGATAAGAAGTATCCTAAGCAACCAGCACCGAGCACAAAAAAAATTGGGAGTACGTATTTAATGAAAATGCTATGGCACTCAGGTTCTATTGCTATATCTGTGAGGGTAGACGATCTTCTTCTTCTTAACAATGGTTCATGTTCAGCATGATGATGGTGATCTTCTCCGTGGCCCTGTGCTTGGCTGTTTTCATGGTCATGGTGGTGGTGGTGGTGTTCATGTCCGTGATGGTGTACCTTGTGATGTTTTGGATACATGTGAGTATAGTAGAAATACGAAAATATCATCATTGCATCTGCAATACAGAACCAAACTGCCAAAAATATCACTTCTGGTAATAATCCAGCCCAGAGTGCTCCAATCAAATTAAAAACATCACCTAAAAACCAGATCGAAATGAACCCAATGGAAACACCGTCAGCAGATTTCAATCTCCACTGCTCAATTAACTGAGGCATCAATAATACAATCCAACATGCAAGTCTAAATAAGGCGTTAATATATGCTGATTAAATAAATATATCAATAGTTTTGTACTTACGAAGTTGAACCCATAATACCAGAAACTGATGTTCGCCATGTGGTCTCTGATGACTGTAACATCAACTGATTCATTTGTTGATGGAATACTGCAAACCCCATCTTCTCTTATGAATACCACTTAAATTATCCGTTAATTTCAAATTACGAATGACAATGAAAGTTTTTACTTAGAGCCAGACTTCGATAAGGAATAAATTCGCACGCATCGACGAATGAGCAATAAATGCCAAAAATTTCAGATTTATGGCCAACTAAAAACCATTACATTGGATTACTGGAAGCCAGAATTCAATATACGTGATTGAATGAATGCAAACGAATAATGTAGGATATACTTTAAAATACATTTATTCTAAATGTGTTTCTCTTGTGAAAGAACGTAGTATCTACTAGATAGAGTAAAGTGTATAAATGGATTATGGCATTGCATAAAGAATACTAAACGCAGATAATAAATCATCCTATAAACAAATAAATATAAATTAAATCTAATAAACTTCTAAGATGTAACGACCATCTTCTTTCATGTCTTCCACAACCTTGGCAACATCCTTGATTTCTTTACCTTCACGCTTGGCACCGTTAGTAACAACGTCTTCCAAACAAGCAGTGATATCAGGAACAGGCCAAGTAGGACCACACAAGTAGAATGAACCATTTTTAGTGACAATGGCGTCGGTTAATTCATCAATACTTTCTCTAATCTTATCTTGGATATAGATCTTTTGTGGTTGATCTCTTGAGAATGCAGCCCCGATGTGGGTCAAGACACCGGCATCCATATAAGCTTCCCAGAGTTCACCGTAAAGATATTCTTCCTTCTTGTGTCTAGAACCCATGTATAAGTAAATATCACCAATTTCCATGCCTTGTTGTTGTTGCCAGATCTTTTCTTCAATAAAGGCTTTGAAAGGTGCTAAACCAGTACCTAAACCAGACATAACGATTGGTTGAGTTGATAATGGTGGCAATTTCATAACAGAGGGCTTAACACTGACGACCAATTCATCGCCAACATTCAAGTCAGACAAGTATTTAGAACAGTGACCATATCTGGTACGACCCTTTGGATCAACCCAATCAACGACAACAATCAATAAATGCACAGCATTTGGATGAAGCTTTTGAGAAGAAGCAATAGAATATTCTCTTCTCTTTAATGGAGCAATAATTCTAACCAAATCAGAGAATGAAGGTCTTGCAGATGGGAATTCCTCCAAAATGTCAACATAAGTACAGAACTCGACATCTTGTCTCTTCTTTAACTCTTCAGCACCAGCACCGCTAGATAAAGTTTCTAAGTGTTCCTTTTCCTTAGGATTTGTAGCATACTCAGCTAAAGCTTCGTAAAATCTCTTTGGTGGCTTACCTAAGAAATCAACGCCTTCACTTAATGCTTGTCTTGCAGATCTAATCTCGAAGATCGATTGATCATCTTTGTTAGAAATTTCCACTAAAGAATCTGCATCAACATTGTAGAATTTTAAGAATTCTTCGACTGCCTTGGCAGGGTTACGACCATGGATACCTAAAGCTTCACCAATCTCATAAGTTAAGCCAGTACCGGTGGTATCAAACTCAATATGGAAAATATTTCTTGAATATTCAGTTGGTGTAAGTCTCTTTCTTTCTTGAACTTTAACAACAAAGTTTTTAACAGGTAAATCTGGTCTTAACTCTTGCTTAACATCATAGGCTTCAGGGAATGCCAATTTAGTAGCTAAGTCCTTGTAACCGGCATGGACAGTTTCGTCAACACCTGCATTATCAGTACGTGGGTTAGGGAAGAACGAAGATTCGGTTGGGAAGAATGGTAATGGACCAGATTCTTCTTCATCATCCTCTTCTTCTTTCTTTTCAACAGGCTCGTCTTCTAATTCAATCCATTCAGGTAAAACCTTAATTTCTTTCAAACCGTTCTTTTCGTCAACACTGTTGATAAATTTATCTAAAACGGATGCCAATAATTCGAAACCGTTACCGTTGGCTTGCAACAATTTGTTAACAATAAAGCCATCTAATTCAGGCAAGGATGCTCTCCAGAAGGCTAACTGCACTAAGAAGTCACCCGAGAAACCCTTAGTAGAATCATTCAGGGCATCTAATTCGTCTAAGATCGAGTTATCGACTAAAACTAATTTATTATGGTTCTTAGCCAAGGTACGTCTGAAGTCAACTGGTAACTTAGGAATGACATCTTCTTCAACCGAGTTCTTAATTGGTTTAGAATTAGCAAGTAAAATGGTTGCACCTGGTTTTGCAGTTGCTAAGATATCATAGCTTGACAAGATAGAGATATCTTCAATCAAGACAACATTAGCGGAGTCAACAGATTCAACTGGTAAATGTTTTGAAGTGGAGACAATTTGGGATTGAAATAATCCACCACCGTTGATATTGTCAAACTTATTTCTAATACTGACAACCTTTGAGTCATCTAACGATAATGATAAAGCCAATTTATTGGAAACATCAACAAAAGCACCATTGTCCTTACCCCAAACTAAATAGCTACCTTCTGGAGAAGTGTTAGCGGTGACTGGTGAAGATGAGATAATTCTATCAGGTACAGTAAGAATTTTATCCACGTTCAATGATGGTAAAAATTCACTCAAAATTTTAGTAATAGTGATTGGAGTCCAAACAAAGTTTAATGGGTAGACAAATTCATCAACACTTAAGTTGTGGTAGTGACCACTCAAGAATAAAGCGGCGGTAATGTCGGCCTTCAACGAGGAAGATCTTGAACATTCAGAGCTACCTTGGCCTAAAACAACTAACTTACGAGTAGACGAAGGAATCAGTTGAACAAATTTAGCTGCATTGAATGGTAATGGAACACGAACCTTAATTAAGCCAACGTTAGAAGAAAGCTTATTAATAGCATTGGATAATTGAGTGGATTCGTGGGAACCGTAAATAACGAAGACAGTTTCTGGGTTCTCACTTCCAATGTAATCAAATTGAGAGTAATTAGTACCTGCTAACTTGTTTAAGTTATTGAAGGCCAAGTCAACTGCATCTTCAACGCTAGCTGGAGCAGCATCAGAACTAGCCAACAAGTCTTGGTACAAACGACCTAACTCTTCAACAGATAATAACTTATTGAACTTGGTAAAGGTCTTAGAGAATTCAGGACCATCGAACAAGTTCAACGATGGGTTACCGGTAAGAGCAGCCAAGTAGTGGTTCAATAAAGTCAAGTGTTGTAATTCTAAACCATCGTTAGAGTTGACTGGTGTAACAACAGGGTAGTTCAATGAACGAGCAACGCTCAAAGGAGCAATATAGTTAGATACTAAAGAATCGGTAGTAGTATCGTAGTCAACAGCACTGACATTGAACGATAACGGTAAATTAGCGGATTTCCCGGCCAAAGTTGGGTGCATGTAAGTCAAAGCATTAGAACCGGCTAAAGTCGATAATGGTTGACCATTAGTTCCATTTTTACCAAAATACCCTAAAATAGCGTTTGAGGCACCAGATCTCACTTGCAACTTATGAAAATATGGCACAACCCCAAAAGAGTTATGTCTTTGATATTGCTGGGACCAAAGCTGCAAATATGAATCTAACAAGTTGTCAGCCCCTGGAGTTTCATAACTGAAAATTTTGCTCGAAATAGCATAAATGGTCTGACTAATAATGGTCGAAGGAGAAGTGTATGCTGATCCTTTCAATAAACTTGGATCGACAGTAATTTCAAATGGGTTTGACTTGATAATGGAAGTTGATAAGATACTTTCATTACCACTGATACTGGCAGACGCACTTGCGTTTGCGGAAATTGCTTCAATAGCGTGAGGAGCCATATTAGACACTAGTTATATCACACTAAAACGTATTAAATCTATGTTTCGTAGAGAACTATATAATATATAAGCATACCAGATAAAATTTGTATAAATTTTCAGTTATCAAAAAACACGTGACATGTAATCATAGTCATAAGCTTACTAAGATTTTGACCTATCACGTAGATCCGCTGATATTTACACAGAGAACTTGGCCTACTACTGGATATATACTCGGTATTACCATTAAGATTCGACAAAACCGTTAAAACAAAAGAAAGGCCCGAATTTCTTTTTATTGCGTAGTTTGTGGTGAGCCACAACAATAGGGAAGGGTTTGAGATAAAAGGGACAAGATAGATAAAAGCTGAGAGATGGTTTACAACTACTATAAGGAGTCTCGGGGATTTGCAATTATAATCGAAATCGTTTGGCAAAAGGGGAGAGTTATGGTGCAATATATGTGAATAAACGTGTAGATCTGAAAACTATCGCGGGACGTATAGTGGGGGAGATTGAGTGCGCGATAAGATATGTATAGAAGAAAGGTGCATTTATAGAGATATAGGTGTCTGAGGGTGTGAAATAGTATTATGGAGAAGTGAAAGTTGCCTCTTATGTTGGATGTGTAGATAGAGAGTCAATGTCCTTATTGGGACTGGAACAGGTGATAAGTGGATCGTGGAGGATAAATTTGTATACATGTACGTTTAGAGTATATTGGAGAGAGAATTTGGAGACTGTAAAACATCTCACAGCAGGTAGTATATGTGATTTAAAGGAAAAGTAACTGTACAGCATATAAAGTTAGTAGAGACAAGGTTGCAGAGATGTAGAGAATTGATTTTAGCAAATATTGCAATTACGAGGGCAGTACCGAGGAATATGTCTCACGCGACTACATAACAGAAAAATCTAATTCCGGTAGATTGCCGGTTAATTTGTCCATCAGTGGCTCTCTATTCACTTCCGCAATAACAGTCAAAACTGAATACCAGTTTCGTGGTACAAATCAAGTCTCCATTGATCAAAAGAATACAGTGAAAATGGCACCAGTACAACTGGCACAATCCGCAACACCAGTTAAGTCCGAGGTTGACTTACATGAGCTCTCTGAAGTAGCTACGAAACCACACTCATTCAAGAATAATCCACACAGAAAAGCTCCACCACGTCGTTATAAACCATGCAGACAAATCATAGGGGACGAAGTGAAATACTTGCAAGCCAAGTCCAATATCAAGGTTGATACTCCAACATATACTTCCATAAGTGCACCACCTAGTTTGAAGCCCCAGAAGCATTACTGTGATATAACAGGATTGCCAGGCAAATATAAGAGTCCTTCCAATAGTTTACGATTCTACGACGTGGAAATATACCAAGAAGTTATCAGAAATATGCCTCCTAGTGTGGATCAAGAGTATTTGGAGTTAAGAGGAGCGAATGTGATATTAAAATGAGTGTATTTTATCTATGTATTATATACCATTCCAGTTATCCACGATTTTGCGTATGCTTTGGTCGAACTTAGTCGATTGTAATATTGTTTCATTATCGGCCAAATTACCAGATAAATTAGTGAACGGATTACAAATTATATGTATATAGGACTTGTGTAATTGGGAAAATAAATCCTTCAATTTCATTGGTTTTTTTGTAGAAATTGCTGGAGATTTAGATGATTCTTTAGCTGAATTACTCGATTCAGGTGTTGGTGAACTCTTATTGTCGTCTTGTTTGTCTTCAGAGGATGTTTCGTTCATTCCTAGACCAACTATTATTTTCAATCCGGTGTTGGTTTCGTACCCATACACAGTTATATCATCCTGAATAAACAAAAGAATTGCCCCACCATTTTCCTCTATATCCTGCTGTTGTTCACGTAGGCTGGTAGAAGACGGCGATGCAAATATGTCTAGGGCCATATGTGATAAGAAGTTGTATTTGAGGTATTTGTTGGCATTTTCGGGATTTTCTGAATCCATTGGCCCAATATCAAATGATTGGATATATAACGGTACATCCTTGCGTGATATTAACGACACGAACTGTATTTTTTTGTTTACTTGAGCCATGTTTGATCCTAATATACTAAGAAGTAAAGAGCCAAATTGGTGATAATTATCATATTGAATATTAA